AGTATTAGCCAAGACAGAAGGGCACCATCCACCAAAATTAATCATAACTTGGGTCCTTAATATAAAATAATCATACTAATTATCAAAAGCACAAATAATAATTTAAACTTAAAAACATAAAAATTGATCCGAGAATTTTCATTCTAGTCCTAAAAGCTTAATTGTCTCCATTTTGTTGTCTTATTTGATGTTCCTTCTAAAATCTTAATACCTCGAGTATTAGCAATAGGAAGATGCTATTTAATTATCCAATTCAAAGTTAAACAAAAATGAGCTGTACTTTCCAAACTCTTTGTTAGAGCGCATATCAACAATATAATTTTGAAGCTGATCATAAAGTGTCATGAGCTGTACTTTTGAATTTTCTTTAGGATAATACTTAGCAAGACGAATTAATTTATCTTTGTCAAAAACAAAGAATGAATCATCGGGGCATAAACAATCTAAACAAAGAATTTTGAGATATTCGTAAGTTTTATCAATACTTGCTTCCTTTGATTCATCATTTTCTCCAACAGTAGCATCATCGACACTTGCTTCCTTTGCCTCGACGTTTTCTTCAATAGACATTTCATCAATGCATTGTTTCTTTGCCTCCACATTTTCTTCAATAGAATTTTAAGTTATTCGTTTAAAATATCTCAACGTATCTTCCTACAAATCAAACAAAGAATGTATAAATATACCAACAGTGAAATGACAAAGTTTCTTTCTGCCCATCATTTTTGGCTTCCAAATGTAATGGGTGCTGTCCGATGAGGGACTTATTTCCTTGAGCATGAAGTGGTTTACAAGGAATTTATTGCCACTTGTTTGAAATTTCATCGGAATAAAAATATCGAGTGACCCTTGAGTCCAAAAATGCAATAGATATCTATTGAGTGACTCTTAAATAAAAGGTCAACACATGACTGTAGCTACCCATGGGATTGCTTTAAAATATGCATTTCACCTTTCACTCAAGTTGGTTGTTGATCTTTGCTACCATCACAAACAATTATCAAACGTTGAAAGTCAGGTTACAATACAATCTTCATTAGCATTTTTTCATCTATACAGAATTCAGAGATTCTTAACATGGAATCTTCAATCTTCCCT